ACCTGCTCTATCCCATGCATAATCTTATAAACCTTGATCATGTCACCCCTCAGTCATCATTTCTCCAAGCTAAAGAGCCCTAAGCGCTTTAACCTTTCCTCATAGGGAAAGTGTTCCAACTTTCCCTCTTATCAGTAGGATTTGCCTATCAAGGACAAAACAAGAACACCTTGACACTGAAAAGTTGGATTTTTATACCCCACACTTCACTCAAAGTAGCTTACAATCTCCTTCTTTCCCTCCCCACAACAGGCATCTTGTGAGGTAGGTGGGGCTGAGAGAGCTCTGAAAGAACTTGTGACTGACCCAAGGTCACCCAGCTGGCTGCATACGGAGGAGTGGGGAATCAAACCTGGTTCTCCAGATTACAGTCCAGACTCACGAAAGCTCATACCCCACCACATATCTTGTTAGTCTTTAAGGTGCTACTGGACTCATGCTCTTTAATACTCTGATAAAGTATGCAACTGTGGGGGGCAGGTCGTGTGGACACTTTGCATCGTGTGACCTTTAAATGTAACTACTTTTCTGAGCAAAGGAATCTTTTAATTCTTCCTTCGCTCCAAACAATGGATCATATGGAGACATTACCTCTTTTATTAGAGAATAATAGTAGACCTATCACTCTTTCAGCTGTGAAATTTTATGCATGTACAATAGATTTTCATTGCCGTTCAAATGTGGTCTAGCTTTTTATGTTTCAGTAATCTGCTTAGAACTAATAAGTTAAGAAGCAGGACGAGGTAGAGAGCTGTAACCTGCAAATGCTCGCCAAGGCTGTTTCTTAATAGATTTCCCCCTGGAAACCAGCTGTTGAAACAGTTTGGGCAGGGGGAGAATTTGTGAGTAAAATTAAGCAGGGGAAGATAACTTCATCAGGAGGATTGGGCTGCAAGGTCACCAAGATGTGAATGACACCCACCTCTACCTTTCTTTCCTGCCTAGTTCCAAGGATGCTGCTGGTCTTCTGAACCGGTACTTGGAGTCAGTAGTGGGCTGGATGAGGGTGAACAAGCTAAAACTTAATCCCAACAAGACAGAGGTTCTTTGAGTTAGCAGAAAGGCAGATCCACAGAGTTCAGATCTCCCCTTGGATGGGTTTGTACTCCCCTTGGAAAGCCAGGTTTTCAGCTTAGGAGTTCTACTTGACACAGCAGACTCAGTAAACCAAGTGGCTGTCGTGGTTCAAAGAGCTTTTGCCCAGCTTCAGCTGGTGGGTCAACAGTGTCTATTCCTGGGTCAGTCAGATGTAGCAACAGTGATCCATGCCTTCAGTACTCCTAGACTGGACTATATCAGTGCACTCTACTTGGGGCTACCCTTGGAGAGTGTTCAAAAGCTGCAGCTAGTACAGAACACTCTGGCTAAACTACTGACAGCTATTGGGAGCATGTGACCTTAATATTACAGCAATTATCCTGGCTACCAATCTGCTCCCGAGCCCAAATCAAGGTGTTGGCTTTGACCTTTAAAGCCCTACATGGCTCTTGACTGGGCTAGTTGAAGGACCTGTATGTTCCTGCCTGGGAAAAGATCACAGGAAGAGCCCCCCCAAAAAACTATCACATCAATCAAAGAAGCTTGTTTGGTGGGCCTAACAAGAGAGGGCATTTTCAATGGCAGCCCCATGAATATGGAACAACCTCTTCAGGAAAATGCTCATTGTTAGATTCACGGATATGGTACAGCCAGGAATCTCTATACGTAGCAGAGTGCACTAGGCTACACACAGCGGCAGCTTCTCAGCACTGTATGTGCTAGCAAAGTTACAGAGTTACACAGAGCCACTTGTCAGTTTCAATAAGAGTTCTTTATTCAAGGAACCACATTCTAGATAGTGCAGGTTGAGAGCAATGTTCCCTCCAAGCTATGGAGTCTTGTGAGCAAAAATCCTACTTTGTGAGCTACTGGCATTAAAGTTGTGAGCAAGCGATTTGGCTACTGCATAAATTAGTTTGCTCTGGAGCCATCCTTCCTGAGCTAACACAAAAATGTGTGAGCCGGAGGCTAAAAAACTGAGTTAGCTCACACTGACTCAGCTTAGAGGGAACACTGGTTTAGAGATAGGGTTAGAATCTAATCTAACTAGCTAGATGGATGTGGATGGAGAATGTGTATCCTGCATCCATGCTGGACAATGATGGAAGGAGTGTGCTCCTTCTTTGTGTGTGCAAGAGAGAAGGTGTCGAGCCGGAAGGAAGTCTTGTCCCTAAGAATAGCATTCTACTTCAAAGGACAGTATCAGATAGCAAGAAGGAAAGGATGCTCTGTGTGTGTCCTGACCTCTCTGTCTGTCTGTAAATCTATGGTGCTATCTCTGAAGGCTATGGCAGGGGACAGAGTATAGTCATCCACTTCCAAATAGAAATAGAAATGTCATAAAATAAACGAACACTCAGAGCCCCCACATTTTTGATCTTTAGAAGGCAGTTGATGGTTTTATTTAGGGCTACATTTGTTTAATTCTACTAGCAATCTTAAGCTGTAATTTTAAGTTTTGGGATTTATGTTTTTAATGTATTTTGCATGCGTTTGATCTGTGCTGTAAGCTGCCTTGAGCTCTGTTAGGAAGAAAGGTAACTAATGAATGTTTTAAATTTTCAAAATCTAGATCCTTCAGAATTAGACCTAGGATTGTGTAGTGGTTTGAGTATCGGTCTAGGATCCGGGAGGCCTAGGGGGCGGGATCTGAACTCTGTCATGGAAACCCACTGGCTGGCCTCAAGCCGGTCACACCCTCTCAGCCTAACCTACCTCACAGGGTTGTTTTGAGGATAAACTGGAGGAGAGGAGAATGATGTAAATCACTCTGGGCCCTATTGGGGAGAAAGTTGGGGTGTAAATGAAATTGATAAATGATTAATGTGCCTAATGATGCCTGTCTGATAAATGTTAATCTTTGGACAGTCACTTCAGATATGCACTGAAGTGGCTTTCATTGGGGTTACGGTTGAGGCACCTCAGAGGAAACCACCCCTGGTCTCCAGTTTCTTCCACACACACGAGGAAAGCACTCTAAGCATTGTATGGAAATACATTGGGGAGGGGCTGTGGCTCACTAGTAGAACACCTGCTTGGCATGCAGAAGGTCCCAGGTTCAATCCTTGGCATCCCCAGTTGAAAGGATCAGATAGGACGTGATGTGAAAGACCTCAGCGTGAGATCCTGGAGAGCCACTGCCAGTC